GCTGCACCCATGCTTGAGGAGCTCTGATGAAGAAGTAAGATTCCTGCAAAAATGTTCTCAAATTCTGGTGTATTGTCTCCTACCCTCAAAGGATGTCCAGTCTGTCAGCTTGCGCATAGTCCTTGCAGAAATACTTGCAACAAAAGGTAGATCAAAGATCAGAGATGATTAACCATTTGCACCTGTACAATATTAGTAATTACAGACTTCATTATGTATAAGTCTTGATGCTCTGCTTTTAAATTCTGAAATTTAATTTCTGTGATAACCAGCAAGACACTTTATAATTCTCAAAATCAAGCAGATACTTACTTGGCTCTCCTGACTTGATGCCAGGCAGTTTAGCACCTTTCAGGATAAAACAGCATTCTGTTCTTCCGTTTTTTTTTCATAGAGGAACACTTTTGCAGTCTTCCATGGCGTTATTTTTAGCGATTATGTGAATAATTCTGGCTTTTATGTTTTGTTCTGGTATGTAGAATATATAGACTTAAGGATGTGAATATAACTGAATCATGATACCAGATTTAATTAATTTTTTTAGACTTTGATTTATTCAGTGTGGGTTTTTGAGGGTTTTCTATTTTGTCTTTTATTTAATCAGGTACATTTCAGTCCGATTATAAATACGGTAGTCATTTTTTTATGTCAATGAAGTCATATTCAGAAATTACGAAGCCTCAAGTATGTTATGTATTTCAGTTTACTTTTAATTTTTGTTTATAGTGGCTGTAATGTCATAACCTTCAAGGCACACAGCAGAAAGAATAAAAACACTTGCAGTTTTCCAAATAGAGATCGGCTTTGTCAATGTACATCAATTTGTGTAATAGGATAAACAGTTTTATCAAGAGGGTACATTGAATCTCAAATGTACTATGTAGTCCAGAAGACTGGTTTTGGATTTTTATCAACTTGCACATTTATTTTTACCTTTTATATGCAATTTTCTTTTGAAGGACAGCAGTTACTCTTCAGCATAAGAATTTTGTTTTAAAATATTTTTCTTCTCCAGTACTGAAACCAGTGGTGGAATTGCTGAGTGATCCAGATTATATTAACCGAATGCTACTCAGCCAGCTGGAGTACAGAGAACAGATGAATGAGCATCAGAAGAAAGACTACACATATGCTCCTTCTTATGAGGAGTTCATCAAGCTCATTAACAGCAGCTCCGATGTTGAGTTCCTGAAACAACTGAGGTATTTAATGTTTCACTTTAGCTCATTGAAAACTAAACACGCTTCTTTTGCCAGCCCGTTACTGAGATTTGAATGAATTGTGATTTTTCTTTTCAAATTCAATTTTGGATTTCTTTTTCTTTTGATGAAGCAGAGACAGTAAGGATGATAAGCCACAGCATTAGTTAAATCTCTAATATAGTCAGATTTTTAGTTTGGTGGCAGAAAATATTAAAAAATTCTGCTTAGTAATATACTGGAGATGACTGTACTGTTGAAAGGTGTACCAGACCCTTCTTTACAGCTTGCCTTTGTGGAGTTAGATAAAATAATATGCTGAGTTTCCACTAGTGTGTGTATATCTCCTAGTTATCTTCATGAAAATCTGATTTCTGGTGTAAGTGAAAGGATAAGGAACAAGTGACTGGGAAGCAAGGAGCAGAGATACTGCTGTAGGATCCCACTAGATGTCCTTGAGTTGGTTTTGTTGAGCACACCAAAGTTTTGGAGGACTGTTGAAGCCATTTCCAGAATGTTTGTCCTAATCTGTTACCACCAACCAACACTGGTCTTTTTTTCCTCTTCCTTGACTCTCTTCAGTTGCTGCTGCAGGTCAGATTTCTCTCTTCCTAAATGGCTACAGCAACATCTGAAAGATGCAAGCACAGCGATCTCATTTGGTGCACTGTGTCGTCTGTTGTGACCCAGACCTTCTGTTAGACTTGGCTTGATCAGGCCAAGTGATCTTTTACTGAGATGGAGTACGTCGGCTGCGTAAATAACATCTTACTTTCTCTCGCTCTTCTCTTTTACTCTGAATCCACTTTCATTTCTAAGATAGGAAAATACATTTAGGTGATGGTGAAATGATTTTGTTGCTTGGCTACTTATTGTTCATCTGCTGTAAAATTTGCTCTTTACTCTGGGCCAGTGTGCCTTTCCTGAGAGCAGAAATTAGTCTCTATTAGACTCCATCTAAAACCTAATTGACATCATCTTTATTAGCATAATCACACTAATGGATCTGCTTGTTTCAAAAGAAACCCAACTCTGCTGTTGTTGTTGTTGTTGTTCAGGCACATTAATGCTCAACGTGCTCTATTTTAGCTGATAGGTCACTTTAAATTGTGTTCTCTAATACCAGATAGCAAATTTGCTTTATGAAATAATGTGGTTTTGGCTGCACTTAGGTTTTTTCCTATCTAGCCTGTGGAGTCCAACTACCATTGTCTTGAGATGTGTTCCCCTGCACCCTACGTGATGTTGATCAGTCTGAGCTGATCAGTGAGTGTAAAATGTCTGAGAAAATGTATCTTCAAAAAGAAATAGTATTTGATTTTGGAGGCAGTGCTCAGCCTTCCTCTGTATAGAGCCACTCTCTGGGAAGGTGGTTAAAGAGTGTTCTCCTGTGGGAGGAGGGGTTCCTGTTTTGTTTGTCCACCACTGTGGGAGCACCTAGAGAGAGATGGGCCAACCTGTAGTCCTCTCAAAGTTTTGTAGTGTATGTTTCAGAGCTTTCATCACTTATCAGTGAATGTTTACAGATTTACATCGAGGAAACCAAACAGCAGTCCCTATATGGATGGGAGTGGGGAAAGTGATATTTTATAGATGAACAAACTAAATGATATTTCAGGTTGTAATTCACAACAGTGAAATATAGGAAAATCTATAAAGAAGGAATTAAAGAGAAGGAAACAAATAAGCCATTGTGCTGTTACCACTGAGGAACATGGTTAGACTCTGTCTGAGTGATGATGGGAGTGGGGAGAATGCTTCCAGTTCTCTTCCTACAACAAATAAATTACTGTCATGTTGTACTTAAACACATTTCCCAGTTAGATGCTATTTTGGGTAATAAAATGCCTTTTCTCAGTTTTATTTGGAAATAATTTTTCAGTGCATGGCATTCATAAACTATAAGCCTCCTCCTGTTACTCCTAATGTTGCCTTGTAACATCTTGGTAAAGAACAGATAGAAGTAGTAACAATTTTCTGTGTAGGCTTAGCTTTGAGGGAAACTTGTCCCAAGGCACTATGGTTGCTGGGAAACTTTTTTTTTTTAAAACATGCTTTATCTTTGCAGATTAATTGCTATCTGTTTACTAAAATAAACAAAATATGTTGCTCAGTGAAAGATGTCATGAGGCACTAGTAAACAATTCCTTAGTCTCTTGACGGACTGTGGTAAAGAAAGTTAAGTTCAGACTCTTGGGTGATGTATGCATGTGACATTACAGGAGAGAAGTCCCATAAGGCATCTTTCCAGACTGATTTCATTAACAGAGTTTTGCTAGGCTTTCTTGTGATTAGAACCAGGTGTTTGTTGTGGGGTAAGCAGGGAAAAATCCTGGGCTGGATCAGTGGAAACCTGTGGGTGAAGGGTGTTGTTGCTCTTGGCCAAGAAATCAGAAAAGAGTGGGAGTCTGTGTGTGTTGGATCTCCTTGTAAGCAACTGTAAGCTCTTTGCCTTGCAAATAGCTCTCCCTGAAAGACTAGTTAGGGTACGAGGATTTTCTAAATCTTTTTTCTCTCCCTGCTTAGAAGCATTACCGTAAGAAGAAATAGTGTATTGATTTTCTGCATTGCTTTTATGGATTTTATTCATAGAACATATTTAAATGATGCAGGATCTACTCACTAATTTTGGAGATACTTTTGATTCACAGTTCATTAATATCTGTAGTGGGCTTCTAGCATTTGGTCACTTTATCTCTTAGCAGAACTTCTCTCTATTGCTTTGTGGAAACATTCTTTCCATTTTTATAAGGGATATTTAGGGAAGTGATGTTTGTTTTCGTAAAAAGTCATTTGCTGATTTTGGAGGAGCTGTTTTGGTTTCGTTTGTTCATTTGTTTTCCTTTCATACCTTTGCTTTCTGAAAATTTGGATTTGTGTTGGGGGAAAAAACCCAAACCAACAAAGCTTCCAGAAAAGGGACCATCGTATGGTTATCTATGAACATCCTTCAAAGTCACTGTTTATAATGTTTACCTTTATTATTGCTTGTCATGAAGGGAGGCAAAATTTTATTCCTTTTTTATCAAGTTACCACAAAATGTGTTGTCCCTATTTCTTTCAAGAAGAAAAATAGTGGAATTTCACCTTCATTTCCCCTCAGATTTAAGTTACCATGGATAAATTGGAAGTCTGCTACAAATAAGGAAGCAAAGATGGATTCCTCCATGTCAGATGTGAAACAAATTTACTTTCTCTGTCAGAAGAAGACTAGAGATAAAAGATATGATGAGTTAAAAACATGGCTGAGAATAAATAGTGATAAGGAAATAAACTGGTAGATAGTTTTCATTCTGCTTTCAAGATCAGCATTATATTTATTCTGTTATTTATTAGTATAGCAGCAAAAGGTCACTACACAATTCATGGTAAGAAGGACCATTAATCTCTGTGTCATCTTTTACTTAAGAAATGAGGTAAAGGGATGAATATAACAAAGAATAGGGAAGAGAGAAGAGTGGGAAGGTAGAAGTAATGTGTATGTGAGCCCATGATTGATACAGTCTATCAAGTACAGTTCACTTCTTGAAAATAAAATCAATACATCACATTTAAAACTGACATGTTTAGTCACCAGCACCACAGAGTATGTAGCAACTAGAATAATTGGAACAGACTTTCAGGGAGAAAGGGTCATTGTCTGGCAGTGTAGCCAGGGTGGTGTTTCTGTGGTGCAGTGTTGTGCAGCACACTCATAGTTAAAGCCAAAGCCCAATGCTTAGGAGGACAGACTAAATAGTGTCTTTCAGGATGTAACTCGGAACATCTTCCTTACTTAAGGTAATATAATGAGGAGTAGTAAAAAAGAGACACTGTATTACAGTATTGGTAATGAAAACTTGTAAAACCATGAATGTGAACAAATGGGAGTAAATTTGGAAGGAAAGAAGTTGCGAAGTAAAAGTGGAAACTGACTTCCATGTGCAGTATATACTTGGCTGTCTGTACCTTGTTTGATAAATTCCTGATGCTCTCAGTTAATTACAATACCTGCGTGAGGTGATTGAGTGTTGTTTGTAACACATTTACAGATGACATAACAAAGGCACAAGGAGTTCAAGTGAGCTGACCAGAATCATTTGGGAAGTTTGTGTCCGAGCAGGGGATTAGCTGTGGGACTTCTACCAAAATACCACTGTCATGATGGGGCTGTCGTTCCTCAGAAGGGCTGGGCAAGAACTGTGGTGGTAAATGGATGGAAACACCAAGATACAGCAATGGCAAAAGAAAATAGGGTTAGAAAAACTGAAGTTTTGTAAACAGGTTCTCAGGTTTCAACTTGGTATTTGAAGGAGTTTGGTAGAATAAAGATCACTGTGGGGAAAAAAAAAAAAGAAACTCTGGAAGTGTAGATGTGAGTGTATGCCATGTGTGTAAAACTGCATGTCTGTACAAAGATGCAGAGACAATCAAAATCCTAAAAGGACTCAAGAGGAATGGGAGGAATTGAGTAACACTGGTGAAAGAAGTACACATGGAAGAAGGGGAATATTTTTTAAGGAACATAGACTCTCCTAAACAGAGAAATAGCAGACTTTCCAGGAGGCTTCAGCCTTCATCTAGAAGTTGACTTAGAATCATAAGGTTGGAAAAGACTTCTAAGATCACCAAGTCCAACCGTCAACTTGATAGATGGCGTTAGGGAACTCCTACAGGGATGAGTTAAATTCACTAGAATACTTGCTTTAGGGATGAGTTAAATTCACTAGAATACTTGCTTTATTACCAGTATTAATAGCTCCCAAAGTAAGTGCACTGAGAGGAGTTTGAGTGTTTGTTACGACCACAACGTTGATGTCTATGAAAGATTTAACTGGCAGTCATTCTCTTTGCTGAGTGCATGATGTCTGTTAGTTTCAAGACTGGTTTTACTTAAAATTCAGCTCACTAACTGCGTTAGCTGTCTTCCATGTGTAGTATAGTTTTAGGTGATAAACAGGTTTTAATTATTCCTGAGCGTAGTGCTTTAGTGTTTAGCTTATTTTAGTGTAATACTTTTCAATTTCTTCTCCTAAATTACATGTGCTCCATATATGTATTAAGTTTATTAGCTGGAAGAACCTTACGGATAGCTCTTTGCTTTTGAAATGGACTCCCATGCATCCTGGTTTTCTACAGAAAACTTGTATTTAGTGTTAAGAGCATGACTTTACATTGTGTTCCCTATTGCTAACTGGCTGTGCAGTGCCAGAAGTTGAGAAAAGGGGGCGGTATTATTGTTAGTTGGATGTTTGCCTTTTGTTTCAAGATACCTTTTTTTTTCTTACTCTACTCCATACGCACACTGCTTCTTAGATTGCAGATACACTGAGAAATGACTCTGTTTCCAGGTGAGGAGGGGGTGGAAGTGTTTTGGTTTTTATTAATTCTTAAGTGTGCTGTATAAAGAACACATCATAAAAAATTAATACCATGTCTTCTTCTCTCCTCCCTCTTTACCCTTATCCCCTACTGTTTTTAACTAGGTATCAGATTGTAGTGGAAATAGTTCAGGCAACCACAATCAGCAATATTCCCCAAGTGAAGAGGCAGAAAGGTAAGATTCTATTTTTCTTCAGTCACATCTGTTGTTTTCATTTTGAAAAGCTGTTTGTACTCCTGACATAAATATGCAATCAGTGTGTGTGGGATTTTTAGACAGATTTTAGTATTTCAGTATGTTTCATTTGTCTGAATCTTCCAGAAACTCCCATGGTGTGATTATCCCCCCCAACCCATTTTCATCTAGGCTGATGGATCATGAGAAAGGTCATATCTATGATACATTTATTTTCAGAACTTGCTGCAACTAGGATTTTTGGCATTACGAATTCATATGTTGAGAATCTTGCTTCTTTTTCTTTTTTCATACAATCCATTCTGCAAAGTCTCAGTCTGTTCTCTTTTCAAAACGTAGAAGAAGGAATGATACAGCATAATTGTCGCTCAGACTTTATTTTGACTCTCCATTGTATTATGTTTTTGTGTTGCAACGGAGAGTGCTTTTAAATCCTTCTGCAGTGTTTTGGCAACATCTGCCTTTTAAAATGCACATGTATCTTACATTTGTACTCAGATTTGTTGTATATACTGCTTTTAATGGTTCTCAATGTAGGGTTTTTTTTTTTTTTAATGTAGTTCTTTGATGCACCAGAACTGTGGTATATCTTCAGGAGATTACGTTGATGGCAAAATTACAGACCAAATTTTTGCTTGAACAGATACACTTAAGGTATATCAAAGCGTAATAAAAAGGCAATGGACAATATAAATTAATTTGTTTGTAAACAAATAAATCTAAAAGAGCTTGCTTTTAGGTTCTCATGTAATCTCTATCTGTCAGGTTAAAAAAAAGTGAACGTTTTCTGGCTCCTTGTATCACAAAGGAAAGCTTTTAAAAGTGATTCAAGCGTAATGAAAAATGCAGAAGCTGAAAATAACCGTGCTGTGGAGGAGGGTGGAAATCTTTGAGCAGTCTGAATTTGGAGTTTGGTGTCTGTGCTCGAATTTCTGAAAGTACAAGGTTGTCAACACTGATACGCCTTTTGTTTACATTCTAAAATAGACCTAGATGTGCATTCCTGTAGGACAAATTGTTTGTGTTAAGCCAAGGCAAAAGGAAAAGTAGGTACTGGTTTTTGCTCCAGTGTACATATCAGAAAGAGATACTAATATTTCTCAGATGAAAGTTAATGTAATGGAAAGTGTTTCGTAAAGTAATAGAATGAGAACAGGGAAGTTAACTCTGAGTACATTATGAAAAATCAATCTTGCTAAGCCTATATTTCCATTTGTGCTGCCATTGGTCTTTGTTGTGACAAGAATTGATTTGGGGAATATTTTTATACAGTTCAGGTTCCTACAATCAATTACTGTCTCACTCTCCTTTGTCTTACTTGAGTTTATCTAGTTAACTACCCACTGTTCTAAACCCTGAACAGAAGATGCTCTTCTGAAGCTACGAGTGCCTGGTACTGCAGAATAGATGTAAAAAGATTATTGTTATTTATTCTGCCAGAGTAGATGTGGTTCCAGTTATTCTCTTGTGAAGTTGGTTCTGCCTTTTTATGGGCTCTTGACTTTTACCTGTATTTAAAAAAATCCAACCGAAATTCCACTAGCTGGTGTGCTGGGGTTTTGTGTTAAGGTATTGACTTTTATTGTTAGTTTAGTCCTATGTCAGCCTTGTATGTCACTTGAGTTGACTGTCACTGCTGGCTATATTAGGCAGGGGGGCTATTGTGGCTAAACCTGTTATTTATTAAATCCTAAGGGTTATTCACATTGTGCCTGAAGAAAAGGGTGACATTTTTTTACTTGGCACATGTGGAACAGTATGTCCAACAGAGGCATACAATACAATCTTACTATAGTTCACACACATTTAAGGCAGATTTCTAATCTGTTTCAGTTTTTCGCTAAGGTTTTAACCTACTGAAAATTTTCAGGCTCAGTCTATGTACAGTAAACTTTGAGGGCTATCTGGACAGCTGAAATCTAGTTCTGAAGGCTTTTTTGTGTCTTGTTTTCCTGAAGTAGGTGGAGACTAATGTGATAATGAATCTAACATGTTGCTGAGTTTCAGGAAGAAAGGTTCAAGGAAAAAACCTGTGCTGCCTTCCTTAAAACAAAACAAAGCCAACAAAAAACCCAGCACAGCTCACTGCTGATATGAAGATTGTTGAACTCTGGTAGAATAGAACACCGTATTACTTATGTCACCTTTTGATGTTTCCCTTTCTGGATGCCACAGCATACTGCTACCTCTGCAAAAGCTGGTGAATAACTAAATATAAGCTTTATGCAAAATGGAAGTGTGTTTGCACAATGTCATTCTGTCTTTGATTTTTATCTCTTCCCCCAGTACCTGCTGCATACCCCTAATGATGTGTGTGAGCATGGGTGTTTGGTGTGTACGAAAGTCTCCCCTTTCCTGCTAGTAAACGAGCTCTTGTCTTTTTTGTCATGGGCATCTCTTAGCTTTGATTCCAGCCTGACAAGAGGTAGTCTTACTGGTAGCTATTTCCTTTTTCGTACGGCAAAGTTGGGTCCTGAAAATGTAACTGCCTCTTCAGTGGCTGGGTGTTCAGCTAGAGAGCTGGACTTCGGCTAGCCAGCAGTCTGCCAAGCCTGATAACCCCTCTCATAAGAGTAGAGCAAGTGTAGAATAATGTGTACATGTATATAGTCTCAGCCTCCATCAGTTTGAGACATGGGAGCTTCCTGAGGCAGCATTTGCAATGGAAAAAGGTACAGCAACAAACATGAGGAGCACTTGGTGCAGCAGGAGTGTACAATACTCTGTAGCAGTGAGTGCTTAGCTACTGTCTAAGCAAAGTAAGTGTTGTGGAAGTACATGACTAGCAATAAATACACCTGAGCAGGATTGTGTACCTTTGCTGTTGGTAGAGGAGACATAATTAAGTCTCTAAAACTGACCAAAAATACTTTGTTTATAAAAAGATTGCTAAAGAATGAGTAGCCTGAGGACGAGGTTTCAGACTGCTGGCTTCTCATATGAGCTATAGTTGCCTGACTTCTTTTAGTATTTTATCTGGTGATACTGAAGTACACATTTAATGTTGCTGCCCAGAGGGGCTGGAGAGGAAGGCTAGTCCGTCAGCAAGGACTGGGTTCTTTACACTTGATTCAACTAGTGTTGGTGCCACCTATTGGCAAAATATTTAGCTGGTAGGGCCTTCTAATAAAAGCAGAAAGTACTTTAAAGTACTTCTAAACATCATTGTATTAAACCCTCCGTAGTAAAAAATGGCATGTTATAGGGTCTTTTTTCTTTTCAGATTTCTATCACTTGAATCTTCTGGCATGTGAGCATAGGAGAACAAACGAAAACGTACAAAAGCATCTGATTCATGTTAAGCAGTAAGTTTTGCATTTGACTCCCTGAGAGAGTCAAATGTCTTAAAAGGTTGAGACACAAAATAATTCAAGAGGTTCACAGTATCGTGCCTGTTGTGGGTGGACGATACAGCTTGTGCGGCCAGGAGAATTGCTTTTGGTCGTTGCTAAAGCTGGATAAGAAACCTAATGTGACATTACTGTTTTCAGTGGTGTTGATGGTTTATTTTGGAGTGGTGCAGGCCACTGTAAGTAGAAGCTGTTATCTTGCATGCTGACACTACACTACTTCCCTCATTTACACTTGCACAAAAGTGCTGGATCTGATGTGTATGTGTATCTGTGTTACTTCTGCAAACTGTGTCCTCCTATGTATCCTTTTCCAAAATAGTCCAGCAGTGACTGTAGGAGGAGGCTTGATTTTGTGGGGTGTTTTTGGTGGGTTGTTTTGTTTTGTTGGTTTTTTTTTGGTTTTGTTTTGTTTTGATTTTTAACTCATCTTTGGTTTTTCTTCCTGTTAATGCTTTTGGACTGTGCTCTTCTCTACAGTCGCATGTGCTCTGGTTGGAAGAATCACATCTTTCTACATCTCTAACTGTAAAACTCCCTCCTCATCTTGTCTTTTGATAAGGATTTATTGGAAGTACTGAACCAAATTTGAGCTAGATTTTAGGTATTTTAGGGTTTTTTTACAAAGTCTGTGTGTTAAAGATTTTGAAGGACTAGAAATGCTTATCTGAAAGTGTTTACTGCATTTTAATCTTGTAAAGTCTTTTGTAAGAGGACAAATACACAGATCAGGCGTTGCAGCATGAGTGAGAGAAGACCTGAATTTCTAGAAGCAAGAGTAGATCTTAATTTTTCTAAAGAAAAGGCTTCAAAAAACAATTATGAAATAGAAAGTTACTTACTGATATTGTATTGCAGGATCCTACAAGAATTCTAGCAAGTATCCCTTTGTACTAGCTGCTGTTTAAAACAAAGCCCATGAAGGCATGTACCTTGTCTTAGGGTGAAACAGAGCAAATCTCTCAAGATTCCCCCCCGCCCCTCAAACACTGTAAAGGGATTTGTTTGATTTGCCTTCTAATTTTCAGTGCCCTCCATCTTATACGTTACTTCACAGCATGACCAGAAAACACCCTTGGATGACTGGATGGGACTGTTTTTCAAGCATCACATTGTAATCGACCCCAGGGCTTCCCTGTTGAGAAAACGGCTCCTTTTCAAGCAGGGATTGCAAGGCAGATCAAATAAGCAGCCATTTCTGTATTAAGAGATCTGCTGTGTTGCAGTAGAAGATTTCTCCTGCTGAGCGTTCCCACTGTGTGTCTAGATATTTGCTTTTATAAGCAGAGCTGACAACTGGTACAGAAACAGAACTGTCTGTGGGCAGGCTTCTTAGGTGCTCTGGTTCTGAAAGAGGCTTGAGTATTCGGCTGTAAAAAGGGACTTTTCTTTTAGCAACTGGGGCTCCAAGCTGACTTGGGTGTGTGGGTTGTGATGTGTGGGTTTTTTCAAGATGGTAATTTAGAGAGAAGTAAAATAGATACTTCTGCATTCCAGCACATTACAGATGCCATCTAACTTAATTATGACAAAACTGTATTATGATTCCTCCCCCCACACCCATCCTCCACACAGGGATAAACGTGCATATGCAATTATTTTTGCATAGCTTTTTGGCAAGGCTTAAAGAGCTAACATTGTGCTTGCATGTGGTGTTCAAGCGTAAAGTGTGGAGGGAATACTTGTGGATGAAGGTGAAGGTTACAGTGACTGATCGTGGTAGACCTGTTAGTTCTGATTTGTGATTTTCAAGTCAATTTTGTAGAGGAAGTTCTGCTTTCTCCTCCTGCTGGTAATGCATCTCGTCCACCTTTGGTTTGGAGAGATGCCCATCAGTGAAAGAGAGAAGGGAGAGGCTGACCGGTCAGTTAGAAGTGACCAAAGGGAATGCAGCGACCTACAGACAGAGGCTATATGTGGTGGATGTTATTTTATTGTTATAGGATATATTTACTCATGCTCAAATTTACTTTACTGCCACTTTGCTTTTTGTTTTGCTCAGCTGTGGCTGTGATGTGGGAGGCTGTGTCGCACTATTGCTAATGATCAGTTCCTAAATTCTCCATGGTCTCACTTTAAGTCCTGTCCCCCAGGCCTGTTGCCTGAAGTGTTTGGGATTTAGCACTTTTTTAATGCATTCTTTTGTCTGTCCACGTTGGAGCTGGTTTTCCCTTTGCTTGTACTGTGGGCAGCAGAAGACCTGTGTGTACTGTTCTTCTCCAAGTCTGGCCTGTTCTTGCAGAATTGAGCAAATATTTTTTTCAGCATATGTGGGCTTTGAAAATGTGTAATTCAAAGTTTCTGAGAGTTCTAAGAGATCTGTAATGATTGGTGGATTCTGTATAGAAGGTGACGGTTCCTGTTTATATGAAAATGTTAAATTGGTGTTTGCTGCTTAAAGGTAGGTACTGCTTGTGCTTAACTTGGCTTTCGGAAAATGTCTTGCAGAAATGCATACGACGCTGTGCATGCGTGTAGTTGCTTTGGAGACTAGTCAGACGGGTCAATGCTGTTGTAAGTGGTGCCAGGTGTCAGGTATCCATAGTTCTTGAAGCTGTAAAGGAACAAAAATGTGTACTTTCAATTTTAGTCATATTTTTGCCATATATAACTTTGCAGTTAAAATGAGAAGTCTTTGGCTTATGCTGCTACTATTGAGAGGGAACAGTTCATGCAGTTCTACAATGCAATTTAGTTTGTGCTTTAAGCAGGCTTTAAATGTCTTCATTTACATTATTTTTGTTGTATCCTTCACTGTGGTTTATGATAATAAAGTTTGTGTGGCATTTGTTGGCATGACTGGCATTTGCAAGGTCCAGCATTCTGCCTGAAAAACAGATGGTGTGAATATGTACTGCAGTTTAATGTATTTAATGCATATAAACGTGACCAGGTAGCAAAACAAACAGAAAAAGAGGAGGAAAGAAAATTAGGTCTGAGCAATCCGTTCTCAGCAATGTTTTTGGTGGGTTCTAGGATCTGCTCCTGGCCTAGTTCAAATCAAGGTAGTTATGAGTGATTCAGAAGAAAACGTGGAAGCTTTGTCAGCAGCCACTGTAGATGTCCAGAAATGCACAGTGAAAAAGATTTGCACAGATAGCTTAGCTGTGATTCCTTGGTAAGTTTGAGCTCATTTGGACCACTTGCGTTTTAATATTGTTTGGTGCAAACTGGATTACCCACAGCTGTGGATCGATAAGCAGCATTTGAAATTCTGCTTTTGGTACTAATTGCATTTGGATGCCCTTGGGAGGGGTACACGGTACCCCCCTGGAGTTTTGAAGTTCCTTTGTGGCAGTGCATGTCTTGTCAAGATTTCCCCTGACAAGGAGCATTATTTTGGAAGAAGTTAGTAAAAGACCCTTTGCTCCTTTGGGGATGGAGGCCCTGATCAGCTGTTGCTGGTAAACATGTGTGCAACTCACTTCGGGAGGAAGTGCCAAAGAAGCATCTTTCTGGTCTTGCTGATGAGAAGTGATTTTGTTTGTTCGTTTTTAATAATAATGAAAAATAAAGTAATCCCCAAACTGTAAAGTTGTTACTAGTAAAAAAAAAAAAAAGAAATTTTCCAAAGGATGCATTTTTTTTCCTTGCATAGTGATGACACAGTGTCTTAATAGTATATATCTATTCGTTTTCCATTTATTGGAGCTTGCTGAAGGGTATGTGCGTAAATGCAAGCCTTTTCTTTTGTAACTTTATGGTCTTGTTTGGTTTATGCAGTGATACCTGAACGTAGCGAACATCATCTTTGCTGATAGTCAGAAATGGCAAAAAAGTTTCTTAATTATATCTCGGTACTTTGGTGGTGGTGGGATTAGTCAAGAATAGATTAAAAAGAGAACTTGTCTTTATAGCTTAAAATCTCTTTTTGATAGGGCTTAATATGAAAAAAACAGAGCAGTTTAGATCTGAAAATCTGAGAATTCTCAAAAATCTCAAAAGGAGATTAGAGTTATGAGAAAACCAATGATATGCCTAACCTTCCCCAGGCGACATGAAAATGCTCCTACTGATTTCTGCTAGTTTATCTTTCATACTTTGGAAGAGGGAAGTCATGTCCGCGCTGTCTCTCCTGCACTGTAGTGTGTTAGCCACGCTCTGCGCTGGGCTGCTCTACTTTAGCCTCTTGTTTATTTGCGAAGGGGCGTTGCAGCCAGGCTTTCATGGTGACTAGTCCTGTGTATCCATGGAGCAGGAGCAGGCTGGCAGTGGGATCTTCACCACTCTGCCCTGAGTGTTTCTTACATGGTGTGGTTCCTTATGGATATGAAGAGCTGAGTAGGGCAAATAGTTTTGAAGGATCTTTGCTAGTAAAGTAAGTAATCACTGGAAGCAGGTGGGATGTAGGGCTCATTAGTCTCTCCTGGAGGCCTGCTGCCATCACAGGATGGTAAGACTTCGGGTAAAGTAGGCATGCTTACTTTGAAAACCCTCCAAGAATGCCTTGTTCTCACTAAGAAGAGTACTTTTGTTTTAAGAAAGCTGAATGATCATTGCATAGCACTGTTTGTGGGCTTTCAAAATGTGGGGTTTCAAGTATGCATTTTGACCTCAAAGTATTTAAACTATTGTGGGAATTGAGAACTTCTAAAAATCATCTTAAGAGTCAAGTGCAGGAGGGGAAATGTTGGGTTTTAATCTTCACTTTAAACAACTGTCCATGTATTTGTTTTAGCTGTAAATGTTTTAAATTGAGGGGAAGAGCTATTTTGTCCTTAAGGTCTCTTTTACTCTCATTGATACTGGTAGCTCTGGTCAGGGACACTAAATTAAATGCTCTGTTGGCTTCCCTGTGGAGATGACGTGCCAGGAAAACAGATGGCTTTTTTTTTTTTTTTTTCATGGTAAACTGATTTTATCATTTGCTTCAGAACGTATCATCTCTGTAGTTCACCAATACGTGGCGGCTCAGATGCAAATGATACTTATCCATTAGAACACCAGCAGTCTTTGAATCAGGAGGGTTCCCTACCAATGTATATAAGTACAGCGAATAAGCTGAAATTAAAAATATAGGAAAAGACTGGAAGAATGTCTGGACTCACATAACACGTAGAACTTCAGGGAGCTCCATGTACCTTGAGTTGTTGATCAATATACAAGTGACAAAACTTACAGTCACATGCAGTAGTTACATGTGATTTTTGAGGGGGAAATAAAAGGATGAAGACAGTTCTAAAAGGAGAAGGTATCTTAATGTATTAGAAATGTGTTTAAAATACCTGTTTGAAATAATTTCCTAAGAGATCACCTTTTTCTGTGTATACATTCACAAACCTGGCTGTCTGTCTCTTTCCATCAGCTGTTTTGAAAATGGAACGCTGTTTTCATCTACATCATTTTACTAGCATTTGATATTTTGAAAATGTAGTAGAATAGATCTCTATTATTTATCTCTTAGCAATCAATTAATCCAGAGCCAAGTACAAGCCAGGTACTCTGCTACCAAGCTGTAGTTGCAGCCTGCGAAAGTGGGAGTATTATGGAACAAGAGGAAAATAAAACCAATGTATAAATGTGAATCAGTTGCACCCTGCAGATATAAAACAGGAATTAACTTCAACACAGTAGGGTTTTTTAATCTGCTTTATCTGCTGCTTCTTTTTTTAGGCCTTGGTAATCAGCTGAAGAGGCTGGAATGTGGAATACACAAACAATATACCTTTTATTACCAAGTCTTATTCAACTGACTGTCATCTTCATGTTGCTTCACTATTTAACAGTACTGTGCGGTCTTGATGTGGCAGTATAAGATTTTTTTTTTTTCTTTTCTTAGTCATCTGACCATTTTGAGTGAGTTTCGGTCAGTATTGTCTGGAGGAGATACTGTATGGTGTGCTGTTCACGTCAGGCTCAAGAAATTTGGATTTTTAAGTGAGCTGCTTGGGAACATGTCGTGCTGGGCTGGAGAGGATTGAGTCCAGTCCTTCATGACTCTAGGCAGTCAATATTATGTTCAAGAAGGTACATAAGCTGTCAGCTCTGTGTATTATCGTACACTGTGGCTGTAGGTGATTTCCTAACGCCATCTGATAAATGTACATCCTGTAGTTCAAGTCTCGGGCCTATGTCTTGCAACAAGCTATGGGAAAAGTGCTGGAGGGGTCAGATTTTCACTGGACATTTGATAAGGATTTTTTTTCTGAACTGTTTTATATAAACCCTTGAGGTATCATTGGAGAATGTTTCAAAATCATCATTCTGTTTCAAATACAAACTTTCCAGTATCTTTGCTCATGTGCATGGTTGATTCCTGAGTGACAAAGGCTTTGATCAGGCAGGTCACAGAGGCAATAGTACGATGATGTTTTCATGTTGTAAAAGACTGTCTCTGATTTGCTTTATTCTTAGATTCAAAAGGAAAAGAAACTGCAGCAATGAAAGCTGACCTACTGAGGGCTCGCAATGTGAAGAGGTATATTAATCAGCTAACGGTGGCAAAGAAGCAATGCGAGAAGAGAATAAGGCTCCTGGGAGGGCCTGCTTATGATCAGCAAGAAGATGGCACTTCTGATGAAAGCGATGGCCCTCAGAGTCAGAAGGTATAAATTGAATAGCACATACATTGTCTGAAGGTTATTCTGACTGTGTTAGCGCTGGATCGTATTAGCCTCACTCATTAATCCCTCCCTTCTCCCAGGAGTCAAGTAAAAATTAATTGCTGCATAGTTTATTTATCTTGGGAAGGGATCACTAAAGTACCTGAAAAGACATACTGATCACTCAGCTTGGAACGTTGCTAAATGTGAAACTTCATGAAGGATCAAGTGGCTTGTAGTCATGTGTGATTTCTCAGACATACTGCATATGGGGAGTTAATAAGGATGTGGTAATGGCCTTTCTGAAAGTGGTAACTTGCTTTCAAATAAAAGATTGCCAACATATGCGCAATGTTTCTTTGGCCCTTGTTATATTTGCTGTAGGAAATACCAGCGGGTTGTGCAAACACTAAGTTGTTCAAAAGCAAACACTTACTTGTGGAAGGCAATTGACAAAATTAAGGGCAGTTGTTGCAGAAAAACTCTGGTAAAGTTGTTGGCTGAATGCTAGGTCTTCAACATCACTGTAGTCTGGAATTGAAAAAAATACTGTTGTGTTAGCTAGCATCTGCAACAATAAAAATAAAGTCATGGCTACTTATCCTTGCTTTAGTAAGCTTAGTGACTTCTTTGTGTAATCTGTCCCCTTTGGGCAAAGCACAGTAATTGATGTATTCAAATTAAAAAGAAGATTTTATCTTTTTCATGTAGGTAGAAGTTCTCTCTTCATGCAGGGATCTTTAATTTTCATTATGTCTGTATAACAGTTATAACTTAGTGGCACCTAAGAAAAAGTTGCATGAAGCAGAAGGAGTTCTTGCTATTTGTGTTTTGTCTTTCTTGAGTAAGGGGTCTGAAAGAGAACAATTCCCTACCCCCTCAAGCATGATTTCAGATGGTGTGTCTCAGATTGTGCCAGGACAGTCCTGAGCTGTTTCCTGAAGTTGGGTGTAGTGAGAGTTGCCAAGGAGAAGAGGAAAGAGGGAAGCATGTGGCAGCACCGCATGAGCCACTGGTGCCACTTTCGGTGCCTGCTGAGATGTTATAGATTTTCCAGGGTAGGTACATGGTGACATAAGATTGTTCAGGAATGGGGTCAAGTGGTGAAGCTGCACTGAATAGGGGCAGGGCTTGGTCAGAAATATAATAAAATACAATATTGTCATAATTAAAATCAAAGGAATTCCTGTTGTTAATGTAGTGTGTTTTATAACCCGATGGATTTTTTGGGTGGGAACTGCTGACCCAGAGTTATGTCTAGCAGATAGACCCGTGAGCAGCTCCGTATTGAGTTAATGGTACTATTAATAGGAATAAAGACTCCTTGCACATTGTAGTGATGATGGAAACAATGGGATCTGGGGCTGCTCTGCTTGTAAACTTTTGATGTGTTTCTGTGAAGAAGCCCTAGAACCTCTCCCCTGTCAGTGTAGAAAATAGGAGAACTGCTTCTCTCTTCAGTTGTCCTCAACTCTCTGTGGCCAGGAAAGAAGCTGAGGGAGGCTGGATGGGAGATGGAGGCCACACCGTTCTCTTCCGAGCACAGAAAAATGTCCAAGGCTTGGCTGAGGAAGGGGACTCCCTTCACTGTTGCTTCTTCCCATCCTCTTCCTGCAGTGTGGTAGCTGCAGTCTGGGTTCTTATCTCAAGGCAGCCAGTGCTATCTTGGATACTGGCCCCTCCTATGTGGGCAGTATTGACTGAACAGTCAGGCCTTTTTCTAAGCAAAAGGGACAGGCATTGTTTGGGATTTAGTAGGTAAGCTAATGTTGGTGTGTCACTGCTGTTGGCCTATAATTTTTAGAGTCTTGCTGTGCCAGCTTTTCTGTTAAACTAGCACTTAACCTGCAGAATAATTAGCTTGCGTAGAAGAAACTGGAAGTTGGCCTTCCGTTCTTCAACTTGCATGAAATAGGTCAGAAATGGGCATTTTATGGTTGTGTTTTGAATTACTGTTTTATGTAAGTGTAGTACAGAAGCCTGAATACATTATTAACTTTGGGGAATTTTTACTAGTTGAACAAAACCCCAAATTGACTAGTGACCTAAACTTGTATTTTGTTTTCACTTCTTCATCCTACAGAAAGCTTTCTCTTTCCTGCAGTAGTGGGGGAGTAATAGGATTGCTGGTAAAAGTCTTTAATGCATGTTCTGATTATGGGTTTAAATGTGGAGATGGATTATTTGGAGCTGTCAATGTTCTCTTACAGATTTAAGAAACAAAATTTACATGCTTTGAAATACTTTTTTTTTTTTTTTTTTCTTTCATGGCAAAAGCTAGTTATAAAACAGCGTCAGTTTTCTGTTTGATAAATACCTGAAGTCAAGGGACTGTATAGGCTTTACATGTTTCACTTGGGCCATTATCCTGAATCTCGGTTCTCTAGGGAAATCATGAATGTGTGAATTATGATCAAATGTTTATAAGCAAACAAACAAACCCTAGCTGCTCTCTAAATCTGAGTTCTGTCATTAGTTCTGATACTGATTTGTAGTCAGCCCTGGGTGTTAGATTTGCTTGCAGAGAAAATGCAGTTTGAGTTAGTGTAATATATAAAGCATTTCTTCTAATCTACTTATGGTCAGTGCAATCCTTTTTCTTAGAAACTGTACCTGCACAGTCTGCAGTAATTAATTGAGTTCTTGTTGTCTGTGTTTATTCAGCAAACCATTTGTTTGATCTGTTGTGTTCAGCATAACAGCCACATCACCACATCTGTGAGATTTGACCTGTGGAGTCACAGCATCTCCTTAGTGGAGCTGTTTTGTGAACCATGGGTGGTAGGAGGTGCTTTGGGGATCTGATCCTTGACTAGCTGTGAAATAGCAAGGAAACCACCTGAGTGTGTTTTGAGGTGCAGGCAGTTCATGTCCATAACCCTGATGATGAGGACTAAGTTGAAACTCCTGCAGAAAACCTTGCTTCCACCACATCTGTGGATAGACACTGATTTAACTGGTGACTGATCGAATTTTCACTGTGATTTCCAAGCTTCAGGTTGCGAGATCACATTATGTCAGGAGACCTCGTGGTACAGAATTTGGGGATATAAAGAAAGCAAGCTTCAGTTGTTGTTCCCCTGTTGCCTGAAGATGGAGTGTCTTATGACAGAAGTGTGTTCACAAGTACGTGAGTCTCAAGGCAGGGATTTTTCCATTAGTATATGTGTAGGTACCTTCTGTACTATGTACTTATCATTGCATTTGTTCAGCTACTGCTGTCTGTGACAAAGATAGCCTTATGATGACTTGCCTCTATTTAAAAAAGAATTATAAGAATATATGCTTTAATTTTAGTAGTGCACAGACAAAGCATTAGCTAATGTTTTTTAAAATGCACTTTGGAAAGAGGCACATTTTTCTGGTGTTATTTTTCCCATTCCTGTTATTCCTGTCTTCTACAAAAAAGTAAAAAAACCAACACCCAAACAAATGAAAACAGAAAACAAGAGTCTGTGTGCCATCATCCCAGCAGCAAACCTCCACTACTGACCCAAATTATGTTCACCCCACCCATGATCTGCAGTGCCGTTACCAGCTTTGTTGTGGTTATTCACTATAGGCCAATGTGGTTGTAGCGAATGGGAACCTGGTGTGTTGCAAAGAAATACAGTACAGTGCATCTGTGCTGTGTCTGGTGCCTATACAGGCCCTTCCACATTAAGTAGTTTTTCCGTGTTCCTCGTCCAGAGAGAGGTTGCGGCTATCTTTAGGGACTTGCCAAGACCAGCTCTCTGCTTTGTAGGGCGAGGAGCAAGGCTAATCTGTGTACATATGCTAAGGATGCTGGTTAAAGCACCCTGCTTGGAAAAAAAAAAAAAAAAAAGAAGATAATTTAATGCCTTCCTAGTCTTTGGCAGAGCCTGTGACCAGCTGTGGTATATTAGTTACTTTCCTGTTGGAGTAGGGAATTGATGTAGCAGCAGTAAAGCTGCTGTTTTTTTCTGAACCTGGAAGCTTCCCTAGAGTTAAAAAGACTTGAAGAGTTGTTGAGGCTGATAATTCTAAGATTATATCTGCTAACTGGATATTAGATTTGCGGGTGTACATGTGCTCTAATACGTGCGTATCTGCCAACATAGCTTAGAGTTTTGTACTCTATCTGTGGTGATACTGAGTCACAGAATGATCTTTTGCTAAGGATTATGAATTACTGCAGAATGTTGTTCTTTAAATCAGAGAAAGAAGGATCCTCCACAGAATGCTTCCTGGATTGCATGCATTTTATGATAACTTATCACCTCAAACCTAAAAAACCTCTTTTGTCTGTCATTGTTGTCATCGAAGTCTTAGTAATGTTTGTAGCGTTTGTAATGTATTTGATAATTTCAGGATAGTCAAGCCTTAAACAAAAACCTAAAAAAAAGTTTGAGAGGTCTCATTTCTGCAAGATAAGTTTAAATAAGTTTTTCTGTCTGTTAATTTATTTTGTTTAAGTATTTCAGTTTGCAAGGTAGCTATTAGAAAGTTTGCGTAACACCGTTATTAGGCACCACCACTTTAATTGCCATGGGGCACTTGTGCGGTGGGCCCTGTGTTAGGTGGGAGGGATGGCTGCACTGGCCTTGCTCCCTGCAGCAGCACTTACCCACAGTTACTTTTGAGAAGGGATGTTTGTTAATTATGCTCCTTGCTGGTAGCCTGGGTGGGGATACCTTAGATAGTAGAAGCATAGAGACCAAGGTGATCTCTTGCTTCAGAATTAATGGAATGTGTCTCCTCCACATTGTGATTTATTCCTCTGCTATCATTTACAGAGCTGACAGTCCCAGAGATGGTGAAGATCTCTGTTCAAGAGGGTGGAAGATCCCCTTCCACTTGTATTTTAAATAGTTGTCCTTGATAAAATGATGAAATAGAGAGTATGATGATGCACAGCAATGAGGCTAAACCACAGACTGGCCTTTGAATTGTCATCTCTGTGTTCTTCTCTTTGACAGTCTGATCACCATTTCTGTAATAAGCCTAGCTTCAGCAAGCCTCTCTCTCTGTGCTGTTCCATAAGGATTATAGAGTGAGCTCTGGAAGGCAGAAGTTTGTTATCTTCGTATACCTGAATAGATCTTAAGCTAAGAGCAAGCCATGTCCAGGCAATATTGTTATGGTAAAGGACAAAGAGAGGAATAGCACATGACTGTCACTGAGGGACTTCGAAGATCAAGAGTGCTCAAAAAGAGCATTTCAGCTGAGACAAACACAATTTACTTAAACACTGCCCAAAATATAGGGGAGCTATTTCAGGCAAAACATAGGTGGCTGCAGTTTTTAAAGAACCTTCTTTGGCTTGGTTCATTAAGGAAGTGACTTGTGCTAGTAATTGTGTACGTGCACATGTACGTGGTTTCCTCCCATACAGCCTGAGTCCAGCAAACCATTTTTCCTAAATGTGACTTGGTGGTAGAGTCTCAGAGGTACTAGGTTTAGGAAAATAGGTGGTCTGCCCAGAGAGAGAGAGGCTGATACGTGACCTGAATTATATTATTATTAGGTATCAGAAAACCCATCTTAGCGAAATTATCATCAATGCCTCAATCTTGGTTGGAATTCATGTCTTGCTCTGTACTAAATTATATCTTTGCTATAAAATGCAAAGTCATAGGAATTTATTATAGATTTATTAACCTCGGTGCTTAAGGACCTGCTTTTCTTTTCAGAGAAAAAGGTGTGGGTCAGTTGTTGTCTGTGAGGTAAAAAGCAAGAGACCAAGATCACTCTGGTGTGTTTGGATTCCTGGTAATATAAGTAATGGTACTAAATAAGCTACATGAAAACTGCTTTGGCTGCTAGACTGAAAAGATGGAGAGGAAGGGGTGTTCGGTTTTAATAAGGTGTTTTGAAAATCAGTCCTATTTATCAAAGAAAGCCAAGATTGTTCATTTTGTTCAACATGGGAAGACACATTCATTTTGTCAGGGAGGTGATTTGTTTTCAGGTGTTCTTCTCAAAGAAAAGGCCTGGATTCACAAAAATAGTAGAGGATGAGGAAGTGATAATGGCTTTTTAATCCAACAGCTTAGTGCCTGCAGCATCTGCTTGGGTGTAGGAAGTCTGCATTTCATTTCCTTCTCTGCTTGACGTACACCCTCTAACCTCAGGAAGAGTCCTGAGCATTATATCACAGCCTGTACTCCTTCCTGTCTGCATTTCTGATAGATGCTTTTCAATAACACTCAGTTATTGGGAACTGGCCACCAGTGCCCTGGCTGCCAGGGTAAAGAACTACACTCCATCTTTCTGTGTATCCCTGGGAATAATTGAGATAAATCTTGGAGCCCTGTGGCCTGGAAACTGCTGGTGTTACTCTTTGTTTGAGTCAAGCAAAGAATAGATCAGTTAGCTTTCAGCTTGGCTCCTCTGCCATGCATTGGAGATACTTAACATTGGAAGTTAAATTTTTGGCAATAGCATTTCATGAATGACTTGAAATGCCATCTTAGTCCTTTGAAATGTAGTCTTACCTTCTGGACAGAAAACATGTGGAAACATTTCCTATCTGCTAGGAGCATAGATGCATTTATCTTCTAAATACTTACAGCTAATATTTTTTACGTTATTATTGATTTTTTTTGTAATGAAGCAAAACTGTTACCATAGAAAATCTGTGCAGTTGAATGTAGTACACGTTTGTGGGATGCATGGTGCTCTGTGGGGACATCAAGTGAAAAGATTTTCCCCATAAGGGATGGAGAGAAGCTAGAGTTAGTTTTTTTTTCCCAGGTTTTACTCTTAGTTTTCCTTTCTTCAGATTCTTCAATTTGAAGAAATTTTGGCCAACCCTTCATACCGAGAGCACTTCCGAATCTACATGGAAAGGATGGACAAGACAGCTTTGATCGGTCTTTGGGAGTCTGTGGAGTGTCTGAAGAATGCTAACAAGGTGGAAGAAATTGCAAGGCCATGCGGCTTGTGCATTAACGGGAATCTCTGCTTGTTGTGATCTTGATGTTAGGAAGTGTGTTTGTATTTGTGTTTTTAAAATAGCAATAGCACAGGATGGGTGCTAAGCAATTTAGGTTTTTTAACTTCATGTCAATGTTTGAGGGTAATATATCAGTTAAAAATTGTGGATTGTTGTGATGATGGTTTACTGTTGTTCAGTGTAGCAACATGACCTGTAAAAAGGGTAATTGATACGCAAAATTAATAGAATTATATCCCACTCCACCGGAGAAGAAAACTTGCAGTAATATATTGGCTTTAGTTGTATCAGCTCATGTGAAACTTAGGAGTACATTACTGTTTGACAGTCTGTACATAAACTTCTCATCTTGCCAATTACAGGTAGCCCATTCAATCCAAAACGGGGAAAATTTCTGTATGTATGTTTTTAAAATCCTTTCCAAAGAGAGATTTTTACTTTAAAATACCCCTTCCTCTCCCTGTTCTGTTGCTGTATAAGCAACTAAGAAACAATGCAATATTGTAATTTGTGCTAAGATAGAGTAGGAATGATAACCCTGAAAAAGGGATGGGAAATATCACTTATGGTTGCAAGATGTATCCTGGAGTATTGGTGCAGAGCAAGACTGTAGAGGACAAATTTGCTGTTGGTGAGCAGTGGGGTGAATTTTTGGGGAAAACTGTTTTAAACCTCCAGGAGTCACGCTAGCATAAGGTAGGAATTTCGTTAATAAGTATCAGTTAGCTTTTTATTCACTGTAATTTTATTACTCTCCTATGTAAAAAGATTCTAGTCAGTTGGAAAACATAAATAACGTCCTGTAACCAAAGTGGCAAATTGTGGAGCGTGAGTAGTGAGCTATTAATATGATCTGAGGAAATGGCTAACAACCAACTCAGGCTAAGAACCATTTGTCAGGCACTGTGGAGAAAGTTGTATCAATCAGTTTTGATTTGCAAACTGCTCGTGATTGGAAAATGACCTTTCAGCTGTGATTTCTGTCCTTGCTTTCAGAACAATGTGTACAGTGCCTTTATTCAGGACTCTTCTTTTTTTTTTTTTTTTTTTTTTTTTTTTTTTAAAAAAAAAAAAAAAAAAAAAAAGAGATTCTAACATGCTGTGCTCCTGCTTCTTCATGGAACGGAAAGGTTGTCTGCCACTACAGGGGCAGTTTTGATTATAAAAAAGTAGCATCATGCAGCCATGTGGCTGTGATATCTCACATGAGGCAGGCAAGCACATTGCGCTGTACTAAGGGAGTGCATAAAACCTTTTTAATTCGGGTCAGTTTAAAGAGATGATGATTTAGAGAAGTGATCCTGGGCTGTGCTGCATTACTTCCTCTTTCCTGTTCATTACTGCAAAGTTCAATCCCGTGGTCTGGTCTGTGCTCAGTGGAAATACCCAGCATCGTGTGCTGGTAAACGTCTCTTCAGGTGTGCTTGGTTTTCCTTTTTTCTTTTTTTTTCTTCCCCCCTCTCAAAAATTAATTATAGTCATGTAAACAGCGAGTTGATCCTATCCAGCAGAAGACAGGAGAGCTGATAGACCTGAACTCTACAATCTGAATTTAAAATGGTGACCGCAGTGTTGCTCTAGCACTTTTTTACCTTTTAATACCAGCTTTTGGAGCATACATTTAAAAGCAGTGGGTGTGAAGCTATGGTGATTTTAGAGCATAGCTCTTTCTTCACTTAGCAAATACTATACTTACCTTGTGAAATTGACTGCTTAGCATAGGTGCACAGGCAGAGTGCTTGATCTCAGTAAGAGATTCACAGATGCGTTCTCATCTGTCTGGACATGCAATTAGCTTGATCATCCTTCAAATTATGCACCTGGATCCTGAGTCATCCTGATATTTTTAACACTTTTTCATTATTCTCTTCTCCCTCCCTTTCCCTCCTTGCTTCCTAGGCTGAAATACCTCAGCTGGTGAGTGAAATTTATCAGAATTTTTTTGTGGAAAGCAGAGAAATACCTGTGGAAAAATCCCTTTATAAAGAAATACAGCAAAGTCTTGTGGGAAATAAAGGCATTGAAGTATTCTACAGAATTCAGGCAGATGTTTATGAAACTCTAAAGGACAGATACTACCCCTCGTTCATCGTCAGTGATTTATATGAGAGATCAGTCAAGAAGGAAGAAGAAAGAAGTTCTGCTCAGCTAACTCCTGAGGACAGAGACGAAGTGGTGAGTCATATGGACAATTTCTTTCTGTTATTTAAGGTGATCTGAAGACGATGCTGAATAAAGCATACAGTAGCATCTTCTGTCCTTGAGCTTTGGACGACTTTTCTTTTTTTTTCTGATATATTTATAAATGTCACTCTTCGTATTTTCATCAAGTAAACCTGGTAAGTTTACAAGCTCTTTGAAACAAAATGGTACAAAATGACTGACTACTTACACTTTAAATTAGTTAAAGTAGATATTTCAGATTTCCAAGCCTTTTGTGTTCCTTACCTTTTGTTTTGCTCCTTAGTACCAGAGGATGCAAAACGTACCTCATTCAAGCTCAGCTGCTCTGCTTTTCAATGAAGGAAGTCTCACTGAAACATCAGTAGGTTTCTGTCTAGATATTGTTCCTGTCCCTTGTGCATTTCCTAGGTACTAAATAGGTATTAAAAGCTGCACAGAAGAGAAAAAGTAATGAAAAATGTAATCTTAGTGCTTTTTTATTAATTTAGTGAATAAATTAATAAGCTATGTTGGAAGATAAAACTGATTAAAATAGCACTAGAACTGGAAATATTAAAACAGAGCATTCAAAAGGTCATGAGCAATAACCCAATGGCAGCTCTCTTGGGGCAGGTTTTTTCAGTGAGTTCTCTAAGTTGGTCACGTCAGAGGCACTTACGTTACGTTTATGGAAGAACATTTTGACAAGAGTGTCTCTCAGACTAGTGAGCATCTTTCAGTCAGGCTGCTACTTCAGGTCACCCTGGATATCTTCATTTTACATGTGAACTTGCTCAGAACACAGTGAAGTGTAATAGTTTGTCTAAAACTGGATCTAAATGAAAAAATCAGAAGCAGAATTCAGAGGTGCTGATCTACATTCTGCCATTTAGAAACACTTTTTCTGGACCGTGAGGCTTTTGTATTTACTACTTAAATATAACTTTCATTTCTGTAGGTGAGCTATTATAGTCTCCGTAGTCCATATCAAGCAAATGTGCAGAGATGAGCTGTTATAAATAAATTACTTCCAATATAAACTTTTAGAGCTTGCTGGATTTTTCATTGTTAGTTTCTCCCTGTGTTCTTTTCCTTGATAAAAGATCCAAGATGCGTTTTCTACTTTTCTCACTGCTAACTCAGCTGTGTTGAGGGTGGTAGGTACTTCAAAGTCTTTCTGTCCTTGTGTTTGCAACTGTTGGGACTTTAAGAAGAGAGTTACTGGTTTTGTCCAGAACTTTCTAAGTATTAAACGTTGTGCTTTTTAATCTCTTTATACATTTTATTCAGAGTCTAACAGAGATAACAGTTTTTTTAAGAAAACTGACACAACACTTCAGGGCTAGCTGTCCTCTGTCAGATAACATTTACTATAGCTGCTGAAAAATTCGGTTTTTGACATCAGCATCATCTGTCCTTCCTCTGAGTCCTTGGATATATATGTGCCAGATTTGAAGGCTGTGTCTGCTGTGAAACCTTAAAGACTAGTGTATTGCCAGGTTTGCTTATATGGTTAAAGTTTTTTGCATTTTTAACAATAAATTAAGTATGAAGTTGCATATGCCGTTAGAGCATTTCTTGAATAGAGCAATCCTAATGGCTCTGTGCCATCCTTCAGGTCTTTGAGGTGAAAGTAAATTATAACAAATTCTTCTTTTTGAAGGTTCTAGTGCGCTTTCAAATGTTGGTGAAAACATACTACTGGCTAATAGGTTTGGATTTTTTTCCTCCCTGTGTATAGGAAACCATGGCTGAGAAATCAGATATTTCTGGAGGGATCCATATTGTTAGCAAATACTAATTGGTTTAGTTTGGGTTTTGGAGGTCTGTGTTCTCGCTTACTGGGGCACTGTGGGAGTTACTATGTTAATTTTCTATAAATTTCACTGTTACAGTTTGGTAGGTAAAAAGCTGTCTAGTGTACTCATGGAGGGAAGGACAAAAGGGCAAACCCTGATGAAACGTGAGAGAATCAAATCAGAAGATAGGAACTGGAGGAAGGCCAGACTCTGCTGGTTCTGCTGCACATGAAACAAGCTCTTTCTTCTTTCTTCCAATCTGCCATCGCTTTTCGCTCCTTGGACAAACCTCCTTTAAAAGGTCATGAGTAGATGTAAAAATACAGAAGCAAGCAGTGCCTGTGTGCAGCACTTTGAAGAAAGAGGGTCTGGTGGTTGCTTCAATGCTGAGTGTGTCAGGTGGCTAAAATAAGCCCAAAGTGTGTTCTGCAGCACTCACAGAAATGGAAGTCACTTCAGTTTAGCAATCAAGGGAAACAGCATGATACTTTACAATGTCAGCTTTGAGTGTGTTGGTTGTTTATTTGATAAATTTGAATACAGGTGACTTGTTGTCTTTTAATTCTAGTGTTTTTGTGATAAACCTAGTGATTGAGCAGTGTAATAATTTCTGTAAGTGTCATGGTTTGAGGCTGGGCCACTAACAAATGACAGACACTCTCTACTAACCCCTCTCCCCTCCCAAAAAGGGAAAAGGAAAGAGAACAAGGGCGAGAGACTTTACGATTTGGAAAAGGAAACTAAAACAGCTTTAATG